ACATTTCAGCAGGACGGCAGCCGGCGGAGACCGGGCTCCCCGCTGGAGCAGCGGAACCACGATACCGTCGACTCGAGGCCAAGAGGTGAAAAGTCCTCTCAGTTTTTGTTCAGATGGGATTTACAGGAATTATTCTGATCAAGTGAACTAAAGACTCTCAACTGATTCTGAACTTTTTTTTTTTTTTTGCATTATTTGAGGTCTGAAAACACTGCATCTTTTTCATTATTTTGACCATTTCTCATTTTCTGCAAATAAATACTGTGCTACATTTTTGCTTGGAATTTCGCAGACATGTTGTCAGTAATTCAATGAATGAAAGAACTGCTGTCCGCAGAGTTTATCTTACTCAAACATAGAAAAAAAAGTCAAATCAGAGAAACTGATCATTTATCTGACAAACAAAAAAACAACCAAAAAACAAAAAAAAACAATGTTTGCAGTAACCTTGAAAAGAGAACTCTAACATTTACAACTAAAGCACTAGAACTGAATCTTTGTTCCAGAATCCATGTTTGGTTATTAATATTTCTGGAAAATCCAGAGAAAATATATTTTTTCCTTTTTATTTTAAATCCCGGAAATAGAAATGAAATGTTTTGGGGTTTTTTTTTTTTGTAAATGATAACAAATTTCAGTACATATTTATGAGTTCTCTTCTTATCAAAGAATCGTGACATCCGGGACGGTAAATTATTTTTATTTGGCTGATGAAAACAAAAAGCCTTCAGGCTGTGAATTCTGCAAAACAAGGGGAAAACAAATTACTCAAGAACCGAAAGAATAAAACAAGCACAAACATAATTTATCTGTCATGTATTTGTGAAAAACATAAATCTGACTAAAATGCATTAATATCTTTGATAGACTAATATTAGATTTAAAAAACCAAACCTCCACTGAGACTCTGGAGCCCATTGGCCGCTATCACTACATGATAACGTCAGAACAACTAAAACTGAAAACTGATCTCTCTTTGCTTGAGCTTCCATTTTGTTTCCGTTTCCATTCACTCTTCTCGAGTGTCGACGAGTTTAAAGCTCGTCTCGACGTTCTGCTGAAGCTGCGGCGTCGTGGCCACAGGCAACAGGTTCACCTCCAGCCCTGCGGTTAAAACGTGTCGGTGCTGCAGGCAAACAGAGCAAGTCATAAGTCCTCTGCAGCACCGGCTCCCGTCTGCATTCACACACGTCAGCGTCCAACAGCAAACACTTGAGCGCTGTGGTGAAAACACTCAATTCGACAATTAGCGTTAATTCATGTCATGCCGATATGATAAATTGTTCTGGGAAGAGCCGCCGCTGCTGATGTGTGAGCGTGTGAATGTTGGTTGTTATGTTTTCATTACTCCTCTGCTTCAGTCTATTGGAGCAAAATGTGCTTTTATATTTGAATTTCCTGAAACATCAAGTCAACAGAAATGAGTTTGTCTTCTTGATTTCTTTCTTTTTTTCTTAGATTTCTCTTTTTTTTTTCTCTGCAGACAGTTTTGATATTTCAGCATCATGGCCGCCGACAGGCAGCCGTCAAGACCAATTCCAGTCAGCTTATGTTTGGTTTTTAAAACCTCACATTTTTAATAGCACAATTAAGTAACTGTTAGCTTCGACTGTTAAATATGTATAATATATAGCAGTTCAGCTGAGTTTTAGTTCCAGCAGATGTTTGCTAATTGCTGCTGGCTAGTCTGAAGGAGCTGAATCAGGGAATCTTAATCTGTGGAGCTAGGTCCACCAAGCGTTTTACACAACTGAATGGTTTCCGTGGAGATTAAAGGATTTCTCAAACATAAATGAAAGAATCAAGGCAGCACTCTAGGTATGTTTTTGATGATGGAGTAACATAATATAATGTAACACTAAAAAAATGTCAATTTTACATAATAATGCCCCTTTACATGATTGCAAAATGTTGTAATATTTTTTGTGTAGACATAGATGTGTAGAGGAGAACATGTCACCTTGAACCAGAGTGTGATGTTCTGTTGCTCTAAATGGAAAATGTGTTACTCTGACAAAGACATCCTGTTTCTCCAGAATATTTAAATGTGGCCACATTTTGGCAACACAGGAAATGAAAGGAAGGCACACTTATCCTTTTACTTTCTTTTTCTTTTTTAAATTTTGTAGATTTTGTTTCCATCCCACTGCCTGTTGAGTCTGGGATCTGATTTTCTTCCATTTCTGACGCTGAGGTTCTCTCCTCCTGGCTGAGTTCAGAGAAATGGATAAATGAAAGGAACTTCCTCAACAACGGCAAGAATAAGCATCGGAAAAAAATCAACTGAGAAACGTTCCTGCCTTAACTCGTTCCTGTTCACGGACTCTCCTGACCACAGAGCCGCTGTGTGCTGCCTCTCTGTTTCCCTCAGATAAGGTCGGGTCCAGAGGTTCTGCGAGCCGTTTCTGCTCAGAGTTGATCCGTGACGTCCTCCTGGGTGAACCGGCGTCAGGTTTCATGTCTGGCTGCAGAGCCAGTTAGTCGCCTTCCAAAATCCTCCTGACCTCATGTGGCTTCACCTCTCCGTCCAGGAGCTCTGAGATCCCAACACATGAAAGTCTCAGTCCTGGTTTCTGCTGATCGGAGTTTATAGGACCAAGGTTTTATTTATTGAAATGCTTCTTTTAATAGTCTGTGGTTTTTTCCTAACAGATGGAATGAGGCTAAAATATAAGCAGAGTTTAAGCCTCCACTTTTCAACCAAGATAAATAATATTAACAAGCAGAAAAAGCTCTGGGACTGATTAATTATTTACAAAATTACATTAGGTTGGGAATTTTTAATTATCATAACAATTATTTTAAAGGGGCAGTGTTATTTTGTTGTTGTTAGCTTTTCATCATGTTTTAAAGTTATTCTTTCATCTAACACACACCTGGAGTGATGCCTTCGTCCTTTTATGCATGTTTGTTTATAAACACATGCATTATACATTCATGTTTGATGTATTGCAATAAAAAAGGGTAAATATTTGAATATCTTGCAACATATTTAAATATATAATACATTGTCCAATACATGTATAATTCACAAAACATATAATAGACTAGAAAATATGTTGGGAAAGTAATATATTAGAATAAATTACAATACATTTCTAGTAATATATTTGAATGTTTTTCTTACAAAAGGAAAATATTCAAATTTTTTTTGTCTACAACAGGAAAGTTTTTGCCCGTTTTTGTCCTCCGGCATTATGGTTAGAATGGTTGCTAACTGTGAAAGTCACTCTTCACTGTTGGGTATAAATGGTGGATGTTTTAATCTTCCCTTATGTTCTCACATCTCCCTGCAAATCAAAAACGTGGGAAAGCTGCGGCCCGTCTTGTGGCTTCTCTGCTCCCTGAGAAAATCTGTGAAGTTGATCGGCCTTGCTCAACGCGACGGCTCTGTTGGCCAGAAAACGCCGCGGGGTTTACGTCTCCGCTCGACTCCGTGGAAAAGTTGAATGAAAGCGAGGGTCAGAGTCGCTTGGTGACAATTTAACGGTTCTTGCCGCATTGATCGGCGGGTTTAGAGTCCATGAGCCGGATCGATGGGGGCCGGCCATCACATCCGTCATAATCCTCGGCGGCTCTCAGACGCACAAATCCGCCGGGCGAACGGGGAGCCGCCGGGAAGCATCCGTCTTTGTAAACAACATAGATTCACCTAAACAAAGTATCAATAAGAAGATAAACCTGAAGAAGACGCTTCAGCTGCTCGTTTATCCCGGGGCTGGAAGCCGAGCTGAGCCCTCCACTTACAGGCAGTGATTACGCCATTGACTGGGTGCAGGAGAGAGGCCGTGATTTATTTCTGCTTATTCAAGTAAACATTGTCACCACAGCGGTCTATGATAAACAATCTATTGAACTGCTGTTATATTAAACAAGTTATTCCTCAGACACCTTCCTTTTCTTTTCTTCTAACACCACATGGACGCCACGGTTCCACGGATGAACTCAGCTTCACCCCCAACAACAAACTCTGGAATTATCAAACGAATGCTCTGCATTTGTTATTTCTGTATTCATATACTTGAATGTGCAGTTCAGCTACAGACTCATCGCTTAACGTGACATTTATGCCGCAGCTAACGTAGCAGGGATTTCTGCCTTCAGGTAGTTAAAACGCTTATTTGCGTTTTTTTTTTTTTTTTTTTTTTTTGCAGTGTGTGTTTGTCTTTATAGGCCAATTTCTTGTCATAATTGGCCAATAAGTTTCAACGTTCGTTCCATTTTCGGCTGGCGTAGTTCACTTTCACACTTCACTGTGTCAAACGAATCCAAGCGTTTGGGAGAGCTGTTCCGCTCCTCGCCTGTGGGGGCGCTGCGCCGGGAACTTGAGCACAACTGTTACAAAGAGTATAAGAAGTAACTAAGATTAAATCTAAACCAAATCATTAATTTATTGTCACAGATTATCTGTACCATTAATAAGTCTTGTCGACTTTATGCTGTACTTTGTATTTTTATCATTTATTTTATTAGAAATGGTCTAAAAATGGACATATGCAATAATGGAACAATCTAGTGTTGGAAAAATGATTGTTATGAAAAAAATGTCTCCATGTTTTATGGGATTCCACTCGGTCTGGACGATATGGCTGACGATACAATATCAGCTGATATTGTTTTTTACTTTTCAGTATCTCAAATACTGCCAAGCTAGTATTTTATCCACAACATTTATTTTATTTTATTTTATTTTTACTTTCAAGCAGTTATGACACATGGTGAAAAAATATGAAACTGCTGCTGCGCACTCAGCAGGTTGTTGCTAGGTAAGCAAAGAGTGAGTGAGTTAGCTGATGCCTCCCACCTAGCTTAGCTGACCATGAGGAAGGGGGTGGAGGGTTACAGCCTTTTCTCTGCCAACATCTCCCAGAATGCTGTGTGGCTCTGGACGGAAGTTCTGTGAAATAATTTACTATTCTGTCTAACAGACGTATTATCTATTACCTATTATCTACTGATATTCATCCCTTATCTATCACTGTTTTATTGTTTAGATTCCACAGAAAAGGACTTACTTATCCAGAGAACCTAAAGGCAGAGATGTTTACATAAAGTCGATTTTAAAGGAAGAAGATCAACAACAGAGGAAAAATGTAAGTAAAATATTTTGCTAGTGGAGCTAATACTGTCTTTTTTTTTTTTTAAATCAATATTAAGAAAATTTTGTCTTAAAACAAGCTCCCATATCTTGCTGAAAAGCTGCTTGTGGGAGAACTTTGTGTTATTTCAAGAACACTAAGCCAGATCTTTAACATGGCGCGAGTCCTCATCGGACAGGAAGTGAACCTCCTCCTGTCTTTTACCGGTTTGTCTAAATGTTTCTGGTGTGCCGTGCGGAGCAGAGGATAATGGCTCGGCGATGGGAGCGGACAGGTCTTGCTGCAGGAGATGATGTAAGGGCTGTGCTGATTGGCCGAAGGTTACCCCGAGCTGACAGCAAACACATTTCATCACAAAGCTTTAAGGTCAGAGGACGAACCTGTGAGAAGAAGCACAGATTAAGAAAGTAAGAAACACAAAAATGCCGAAAATATTTCTACTGTCTGTTCAGATGATGATGTTGGCAGAATGACAAGTAGAGATCAGAGGTCCAGAGAACCATCCAGAGGTGAGGCAGAGTGAATGAGTGATGATAGATCGATGGAAAGAAGTACAAGGACATATTTTGATTTTAAGGATTTTTCTTATTTTACGAAATCATCCACTGTTTCTTTTCTCCTCCAGTCTCTCTGCCCTCCCCTCAACATGTACAGACATTAATCCGGCAATTCACTTTCTCTCTTCCCGGGGTACAAAATGTTCTTTTCCATCAGTTATCTAAAAGTGCCCGAAGTCTTCCGTTCTGCCTTTGTACAGTATAGTGTTTAACAGAAACTGTCTGCAAGCTGGAGTCCTGTTAAATTACAGCCTGCAGAGAGCCGGGCCTTCTAAACCACCTGGGAGCCACACGGCTCCAGAGCAGCTCAGCCAGAGACATTCTGCACTTTTTATTATTTACAAATAAAAAAAATCACAGCAATTCTCTGTGCCGTTAAAATGCCACGAAAAGAGAAACAGCATCTTCCAGAATATCTAACAGCTTTACGCAATGAGGAAAATGAATAAATACTATTAAAAAAATGTAGTAGATACATGATAGTTTCTGGTAGCATAATTCTAATTAAGCTGTTGGGGATAAAGAGGTAGTATCATGTAAAAATCAACCTTTTTTTTGCTGTTTCCTCCTCAAAGACATACTTGGAGTGTTGCTTAGGTTGATTCATAAAATCCTTTAATCTTCATGGCAACCATTCAGCTGTGAAAACGCCTGGATGGGACAAGCCCCGCCTTTAAGGGTTGAAGCTCCTCCTCAGAGCTGCAGTTTCCAAGCTTTCATCCCACAGAGCAGCCCTGCCCCTCTGTGATTCCCCCACTCAGCTCCTTCAGACTAGCCAGCAGCAATTAGCAAACACCTGGTGGAGCTGAGTATCTGCTGAGCTCGTCGTTGGAGCTACTGCTCAGGGAAACTTTGGTATGGTAAAACGCTGTCAATGGGTTAATAGACGAGCCATGTTGTGATGATTTTCTGAAGGCTGAGTTTCAGAAACAGGAGGAGTTTCTTAAAGAGACAGAGGTCCATTTTCAAGGCGTTAAATTACGAAGTCAAATTTCTTTTAAGCCATGTTTGAAATAATATTTTTTATAAAAACTGAAGTTATTGTAGTTACCTAATTGTGCTATAAAATAGCAGTGGATGACTGGAAAATACATAATTCGGCCCCTTTGTAGTGGCACTATAACAGTAACAATGCACTCATGCAAAGATATCAACTCAAATAAGATGATATAGTATTTGTAATAAAGCTGCACATATAATGAGCATTGGTCATGCTTCCTGAAATGTAATCAAAAGCAGAGAATCCATTTTTATTCCATATGGAGAAACGCATTTTTTAACATCAGTTTCCACATAAACTGTTATCAGGTCATCCAGTTTCGCTCTGCTATAAGCTCTGATTTCATCTTATTCCTTTAGGTTTTCAGCCGGCTTCAAGTCTTCTGATTGAAGAAGCCATTATGGCAACTTTATTTTCTCCTTCCCTGACTGATCTCTCCATCCTCGTCTCATCTTCAGACTTTAATCAAGATGTCCTTGCTCATTTCTCAATTTATCATTTCCCCTGCTATAAGTCTAGGACTTCAGATTTGGCTGTGGTCTGTATTCTTGGAGTATTTTACAGGCTGTTCCAAGCGATTCACATTAAACTTTCAGAAAGCTTCAACACGCTTTTTCATGCCACACTGATCTCTCCAGGTCCGGGGCTTTTGGAAGGTCTCTGCAGGGGGTCCTTGATCTCGGACAACTGTTCTTATTATTCTTTTGACTCAGAAATCTCGTGCGGAGCTCGTGGTCATGGTGATTTACATTAAAATTCAGCTTTCAGATTTCAACCTGTGGTACGTAGCCCCAAATGTGTTCAGTGAAACCTTTAGAAGTTTGGAAAAAATCAAAAATAAATCAGTAAATGGAACCTCCAACACATTTCGCAATTCAGTTCAGTTCAGTTAAAAATGCCTAATTTGTCCCAGAGTGAAATGGAATGTTGTAACTCAAATGATCAAATTTTCTTTAAAGAGTTGCTGTAGATGGTGACTGCTGTAAGCAGTCTGTGTTACAGTGCCTCTGAAGAAGCCTCTGACTGAAGACTTTCCTGTTTATTCTGAATTCTAATTGCTGCATTTCCATTACAAATGTGCTCGAAACTTTGTCCATATTCCAAGTTAACCATCGCAATTGTTCTTTCTGTTTGTTCACACAGTAACGCGTTAAAAAAACAACACTGTGCCATCATCATCCAACCACTTCCTGTCGTTTTCTTCTTCTTCGTGGTTTCTGTCAGTAGTAACATCCGGTTGTTGAGCGTGTGACAAAAAATGTGTGCGATATGGGAAAAAAAATTGTGTTTCTGTTGCAGTTTTGCAAAATGAACCAATTGTGATCCAGCCAAAATAACACCCACCTCATCTTAGTGGCAAAACTTCTCATCAAATTTGCCCCTCATCTGTTACGCTCATTTATTTTCCCAATGTGAAACTGGATGGAACCAGTCTGGGTGTGTCATTCTCACAACTCAAACCTCCGTGAGAATGACAGCCTGCTCCGTCCCTGGATGTGTTCAGGTTCACCCCCGAATCTCAAGTCCAACTTCTTGATTATACATTTCTGTTCAAACTTTCACTTCCTCTCCCTCTGTTGAAAGTGATGCTGGACATTTTTCTTCCGAAACCTTGATTCACCTGCTTTGTTTTGTTCGCATTCAAGATGACATGAGTTTTCTCACACCATGCTACTCCTGTGTGGCAACACTAGCAATAATGTCTGGGAACTTCCTCTTCTTTTAGTTTGGTAATGTAAACACCTACAGGGCATTCATATTAATATGGTGCTGTATGATTTTCTAAATATTGACAGATTTTCGCTCGTTGTTTGGCCTCCTGAGCCGTCTTCAGTAATCCTCAGCTGTGCAATTTCCCTTTTGCGCAAATAACTCAACTTATCAACTAATCTGTTTAGAGAATTTGTGAACTGCTTCGGTGGTTTACTGACATCTGGTGTGACTTTCATTTCAAAAGACCTATTAGAAATGTATTTACTGTGACAAATGATGTGTTCAGTTCTTAATGCCCCAGCTGTGTCTAATTACGTAGAAGTATGCAAGGAAAAAAAAAACATTGCACTTCTTTGGAAACTCTGAACTTTAAATTACCGTCTGAGAGAAACGTCCTCATGACAAAGTGAAATGATCCCAAAGCAAGGTGTGGAAAGTGGTGATATCTCATAATGATTCCGTTTGAAAATGTCACAATATAAATTGTGGCTCAGGTCATATCTTACTGTTTCCAAAAGGTTGGCTTGTTTTATAAGATTTGAACAATAAAAGAGAACGAACACAGCATTGACCTCAGCACTGACTTAATTAGAGCTTTGTCTGATTCTGGTGAGTTATGATATTAATATGTTATTGTTCTCTTTAAAGTAGGATCGCATTAATGCAACTTTTTAGATAAATAAAACAATTATGAAAATTATGTTTTTTTTTAACAAATATATCAAATCTGCTCATCTGTTCACAGCTCTTTAGTTCAACTGTAGACTATTTCTTTATGACTTTGTCTCCCCCTATAGCCTAAGAAAAATGACAAAACATTTCAGAAGCTTTTAAAGGTTAGAGTTAATGTTCTTTTATGTTGTGTGATTTAAATCCTCTGAGGAAAAAGTTAAATGACGAAATTTGAGTAAAATATATTTTACGTTAAAACTCTGCAGTCACTGAATCAGAAATCTGAGCCTGGCAGCATGGTTCACAGGTCCAAATGTACAATAAAAAATATTATTAGAATAATACATTTCATTTGTTTTGATGCTCTTTTAAACACTTGGATACTTTACAGGAATAAAGTGAAAATGCAAACAGAAGAGTAAATACATTACACAGAAATATGAAAGGAGAACACCCAAATACAGAGCATGTAAAAATAAAATTTGAACAGGTCTGCTTTGCTGAATGTACACAAATAACTTTCAGGTTAGTGAGATAAGATTTTGTTCTGCATTATAGGCTCATGTCTTCATGAACTAAATCATGTCTGCAGATTTAGTTCTGCAGGCATGAGCCTAAACTACAGATCTACTCCGACAGTTTAGTCTGAAAAACATTTTAAAAACATGGTCTTTGAATTTCACAAATGAAGATTCGTTCTACAAGATGAACTTCCCGGGTTTTTTTTCCCAGGTGCGATTTCAGCTCCTTCCATGTTTTATTGACTCCATTTGCAGCACATCCTCTCAGTGCAGAATTGCAGCATTAAATCCACTTTTTCCCCCATTTCACTCAAACTCTCAGGCTGCTGGTAAAAAAAAAAAAAAAAAAAACTCTCCCGCCCCTCATACTCTCTTTGATTTGACATTTTCATTTTATGATGTTTTGCCAGCGGGCCCCTCTGCGCTGCCATGACGGGGCCCCGACGCGGGCTCTAAGACTGGCACAAAGTGGCCCTCCAGCTCATCACTGGCCAACACTCAGAGCAGAGTGGCCCCGCCGCGGTCAAGGTTACGATGCGGTGAAAACCACTGGCCCCGCGCTCTGGGCCACCGCCGGGTCATTTCAGGGCAGCTCTGCTCTGCCAGGCCATTTAGAATCGGACTGAAAATCCTCCCACAGACGAGGCAGAAAGTGAAACGCGAAGCCAGCCGGGAACAAAAGTGACAGAATCCGACCAAAAAAAAAAAAATGAAATAAATAAAGTTTCACTGTTGACGTTCTGGTTTAGATCAGCCAGCTTAATTTCAACCACCATTGTTTTGTTCCTGTGCAGTTGGAAGCCATTTACTCCGCCAAAGTGTCTAATTAATTAGACAGAAAAAAAAAGAGCAAAAGCTCCCTTCAAAGCCAGTGTTTTTAATTAATACAGGAGAATTAGGAGAGAGGCATCGGGAGCATTATTGATCTTTTACCACTTTTAATTAACTGAGTGAGTTATTTAGGCTGCTGTTTTACTTTGCTTAAAGCTGATTATCTATGTAGTGCAACAGCTGATGCACCTCAACCCCTTATATGTGCTTATGACTCATAAAATGCTTTTTAAATTTTATTTTCCACCTATAATACAGGAATCCATGTGGTCCATGGTGATGCGCCTTTACATTAACCGGTTAAAGTTCATTCTTAGGATAAAATGTCCAAGATCTGAACAACTTTAAATGAAAGTATTTAGTGAATCCTGAAGTCTGAACCAGGTGGCTGCAGCACAAAAACGTAAAAACAGTTTTCTGCAGAGTTTCTTGAAAGACAAACTAATTCCAAGTCGAGCTTGCAGAGTTCTTCTTCTTCTGCTGCTGCTGCTGCTGCTTGTTCTTCTTCTTGACTTTTATCTCCAGTGGGCAAACAGACGTTAGGTGAAGCTTCTCAGTGGAGTGACATGACATAACCAAAAAGCTAACAAGAAAAACTAATTAGATCCTCTCATACAGTTAAAAAGTGAACGGTAAATTTATGGAACTCATGTAGCCCA